TGTGAAACAGCTGGATGAGTCTTTCAGTCAAGGAAATAAACCAGTCAAAGCACAAGAAGAGCTGAACTAATTAGCCGAGCACAGGAGCCTTTCAATTTGAAAGTAGTTTGTAAAACCTGAAGTAGCTCAAAGTGTCCTCCCTGACATGGATTATCTGGTCACCCTAATTTATAGGGTCTTTCCTTTGATTTGACTGCATTTAGCAGTAGCAACCCCCCATTCACAAAAAACGCTGAGATAGCGAAGTTTATAAAAATATCAAATGTTCTGGCAGTTTTCTTTAGCTGTGCTGCCTGGCAGAGGCGTCAGGTCCCGATGAGCTTGTAATTTGTTATAAGTGGTTGGAACGTGGATGAAATTGTGCATAAAAATGGCTCCGACCGCCTTTAAAAAGACGCACGTTTATTTTTCGCTTTCGCCTGCTTTATATCACACACCGATCAGCCACAGTGGACGTGTTTAGGTGTGTGGCTGGGACCAGCCGCCTGCTTGCGCCCGGCGGGCCTCATTGATCACGTGCGGAGCTGTCACAGTCTTAAAATGCAAGGGTCCTGGGGGCTGTGAAATGATCTTAGCAGCGTCTCCATCGCTTGCGTGTGCCAGGGTGACCTTGGGCAACCCTGCCTCTACGCTGTCCTTCCCAACACGCTAGAGAGGTGGACGGCACTCCCTGCTGGAGTGTTTAACAGGATGACTCACACTTCCCGCAGCACCCTGCTCATCCGTCAAGCTTCAGCCAACGATCTGATGTGATCGCTTGAGTAAAAAAAGTGAATCTGGGCAACTTCCTCCCAGAAAGCAGAGACTTCCAGCCTTTAAATGAGGTGATACGTCACTGCTATTGATAGGATGAATAATGCTCTCTTCCAGAGACAAGAACACCACGCCGTTAGTAGATGTTTTTACTAACAGTTACATTTTCTTTGGATTCTTGTTTTCTACCCTCCCCATGTTTCTCCCTGAACCCATCTTCCAGCGGCCTGTGCCAACAGCCAGGAATGGACCTTGAGTCGCTCAGTCCCAGAGCTCCGACTGGTAAAAGACTCTCTCGAGTGTGCATGTCCTCTCCATATTTCTGTGGTCTGTTGGCGTCCACTGTGTGATTGTTACTTGTCTGTCGATGTCTGCCATGTGTTCATTATATCCTTCTGTTTTAAGCCTCCGTTGGTCTGACGTTCTGTCAACGTCCTTTTTGTGCTGTATCCACAGGAGATATTTACAGTTCATGTGAGAGCATAGTGTTTGTCGTAGCGAGAATATATCATGCACAGGGATATTTCTGTGTTGTCTGTATATTTTTATACATATGAAGTGAGAAACTCTTATCTCTGTGTCTTCCCAGGGGGTTCTGGGTAGCCTGCGCAGTGGCCATTCTGCACTGGTGAACAGATATATAACTGGCAGCTACCTTCCGCAGGAGTCCCCTGAAGGTTTACCTTGACACACTGACACACGTGCTACTGGCCTCGGTCATGTGATGTGTCCTGTGACCCGCTCCTCTCTGACCTGTACCTTAGGGGGAAGGCACAAGAAGGAAGTACTGGTTGAGGGGCAGAGCCAGTTGCTACTGATCCGGGAGCAGTGCGGTCCCCCAGATGCCCAAGTACGTGCAGTTCACAGTACAGTTTTAGGGAATTTATCTCTCGCAGTGTTCAGTTTTAGTGGCAGTAAGTCCTTGCCAATGCATCTTGAGTTCTTTCTTGGATTTCAGCTTGTAATATTTGGTCCATTAATAACGTACTCCTAGTGAACTTGGTTATTTCACCCTAAGCACCTCCTTCCTCCCAACTTATCTGCTAACGTCTGCAGTTCAGCGACTGGCTGGATGCTGTCATTCTGGTCTTCAGCCTGGAGAATGAGGCCAGCTTCCAGGAAGTATATAACAACTACAGCCAGCTGAACAGCCACCGCAACATGGCAGATGTCCCTCTGATTGTGGTGGGGACACAGGGTAAGCTGGCCGTTACTGAGGGGATGCGATGGTGCAGTTTGGATGGTGCGGCCGTGAATGAGTGACAGATGCGTTTTCACACCTAAGACAAGATCAGCAGCACCAACCCGCGGACAATCGAGGACGCACGAGCAAGAAGACTTTGTGTGGATGTGCGTCGCTGTGCTTACTACGAGACCTGCGCCACCTATGGGCTCAACGTGGAACGGGTCTTCACAGAGGGTGACTTGCCGCCTTTACAGACACATCAATAACCTAGTTCACTCTTATTTGATTTGAATTTGTGTGGCACCACTCAGTTGCCATTGTGTCCTGATCGTTTTTTTCAGTAAATTATGAATTGTTCCTTACTAATGTCTACTTGCGTCACAGCTGCCCAGAAGATAGTGGCCTACAAAAAGCAGCTAGCCACCCAGCTAGCCTGCAAATCCTTGCCCAACTCCCCCAGTCACTCTGGGGGCTCCACGCCAGTGTCGGGAGCCTTCCCTGGGCAGGTGAGGCAGTGGAGCAGCTTTTACTGTGCAGGAAGTGGCCGGAGAACATTTCTTCACTGAGTGTCCCCCCGCCCATCCAACAGGCCAGCAATGGAGGCCAGAGCAGTGATTACTCATCATCTCTGCCCTCGACCCCTGTCGTTAGCCACAAGGAGATTCGGGGGGGCGCCGATGGAGCTGGAAGTGCTACTCCAGGGCCCCTGCGCAATGCCCCCCGGCGCCGGACATCTCTCTTCACGGTTAGCCCTGGGTGAAGCCTGCTGCGTGTCGTCAGGTCACGTGTCTGGGGGGTCAGAATCACAAGGTCCATTTAGCCTGATGTTATTTATGAATCGGTGTTTTCAGCTCTGATTCGGAATCAACTTGAGAATAGCTGGCCTCATTCTCCAGATTGGCCCACTGCACTAACACCAAATGGCCTCAGGATGGCACCATTCCACACAAACCATGCCAGTAAAGCGAACTCAGGGCAGGCAAAGCAGCTCTTTTCTGCCAGTGTTAACACTTATAAGAGCAACTTGCAGAAGCAACCTGCGGAGATCTACAGCTGCAGGAGGAAGGCTACGCTGTCAGCCTATTTTCTGGAAACCAAAACAAAACCCCCAGATGCAGCCCCAGCAGAGCTGTATATGTGCATCTGTTAGAATCTCTTTTTCCTTCGAGTGAAACCGTTTAATTGCAGAACAGGCCCAGGGATGTAGGTGGCTGAGCCCCCTTTCCAGTTCCCCCTTTCCTTACTCCTTCTTCGTGGTCTGTCTAGTTCCAGAAGCTTCTGTATGTAACCGTGTAATGATGCCTCCTCCCCAGAACCGACGAGGTAGCGACACAGAGAAGAGGAGCGTGGACAGCAAAGGGGACGCAGCCGGTGGGAGGGCCATGCCCATTAAGCAGGTCAGTGTGGGGTCCCTGGCGACCCCGCTGCCCACCCTTCCTGCAACGAGCCAGAGAATTTGCTAATAAACACCTAATGTTTGTCCTCACCTTCCAGAGCATTCTGTGGAAGCGCGGTGGAAGTTCCCTCAACAAAGAGTGGAAGAAGAAATTTGTGACCCTGAGCAACAACGGCATGCTGTCTTACCACTCGAGCTACAATGTGAGTCAGGGCCTCAGGGAAGGCATCAATCTACAAGCACACTCTGAGTATCCCAGTCTCCTGGCAGGAGAAACCAGCCATCTGGATCCCTGACAGTATCTGCAGTAGTGTCTACATACTAAGCATCCTAATGAAGCACCCTTCTAGGTGGCATCCAGACAGAGCAGTAAGACATGGAAGTTGTGAGTCACCATGCCGTGTAACCCTGCAGGATTACATGCAGAACGTCCATGGGAAGGAGGTGGACCTGCTCCGAGTCACCGTGAAGGTGCCGGGCAAGCGGCCGCCCCGTGCTGTCACTTCCTGTGGACCCTCGCCCGGCCTCAACGGGATGGTGAAAGATGCCCCAGGGCCCGAGGGTAGCGCCTCTGGTGAGTCACGGTCTGAGATGCACAGGAGAACAAGAGGAGGGTTCTAAGAAATCAGTGTCATCATTTTGGCAAGAAATGCTTCACAGAATTCACAAACATCTGAGATAAAGTGGGAACGAGTTTTACTCATTTTTCTCATTTGCACCTTCCTGTGACTCTTTGCCAGCCGGCCTGTTGCCAGTGGATGAGGCGGGTGGGGGTGGTGTTTCTCCACGTGGAGAGAGGGGGGTGCAACGCTGTCCATCCTCCTTGTCCAATAAGGCCCAGAGCGTGGGTACGTCCCTCAGAGCTTCAGCAGTGTCCGTCTGCTGCATGTTTTGGTTATACGTCTGTTTTTGACACTACATAACTACATATCAACGGAAGACCCAAGCGCATCGTAAGCATGTGTGTTCATCGTCCTCCATCAGATTCTGCTGTCGAAGGCGTAAGTAGCCCCCCCACTCCAAAAGACCATGCCCCGCCTTCTCCAATGTCTGACAGAAAGAAACACAGGAGGAAGAAGAGCATGAACCAGAAAGGTGACCCTACAATCGGGCAAGCTGAGGGTGAGTATCTAATTGTATCATGAGAATGAGCACACTGAAAACGATCATTTGGATGTAGGTTCTTGCAAGTTCAAGCAGCGGTTCTGTCTGTTAGGGACACTCTTGCAGATTCCTGACAAAGATCATTGGATCAAGGCTTCGGGGGCCCTGCCCTCATTGGATCTTTGTTCCGAGGATTGGTTTCGGGGGCCCTGCCCTCAGTGTTTTCTCGTGTTTTGCACTGTGATTCAGGAGCTTCTACCCCACTGCTCACTGACTGTACAGCTGATGTCTGTCCTACTTGACTCTCCCTTTTCAATGACCTCTTTCTTTCTCTCTCTCTCTTCTTCCTCTCTCTGCCCTCTACCTTCCTGGGATAATGGCTAACCTATTGCTCTGCAGCCAAGCGCAAAATGTGGAAATTAAAAAGCTTTGGTAGCTTGAGAAACATTTACAAGACAGGTAACAGAGCCCAGGGTGACATGGGAAGCCACAGACTGTGTCTGTGTGTCAGTCTGCATTTGCTGTGCTTGCAAAGTGTCCGTCACTCTGACATACATGGAGTCGGTTGTTGAAGCAGTCCCTTCATCTGTAACATTCATCCCGTTAGCCCCTGCCCCTCATTTCCATCGTACCTGCCCCTGCATGCAGACACAAACATGCAGAAGGATCGTAAAAGCATGTGTTTCATTGGCTGAATGGGCAAAGGCTCCGTTTTCAGAGGTAGAGCACAGTTCCTGGCGTATTTTACTCTAGCAGGTCACCTCAACCTGTGTGTCATCTCATCACAGAGGAGGAGAACTCCGACTTCATGATCGTGGCCAGCACAGGGCAGACGTGGCACTTCGAGGCCCAGAGCCAGGAGGAGAGAGACTCCTGGGTGCAAGCCATTGAGAGCCAGATTCTGGCTAGCCTGCAGTCCTGTGAGAGCAGCAAGAACAAGGCAAGTGGCTGCCTATGACAACCTGCTGCTGGGCAGCCAGGGAGAAAGGCTTTGCACAAACTGATGTGCATGTGTGTGATCTGCAGGCACGCAGGAGCAGCCAGAGCGAGGCAGTAGCCCTTCAGGCCATCAGGAACGCCCGGGGGAACGGTCTGTGTGTGGACTGCAACGCCCCCAGTGAGTGTGTGACCTGATTTCTGTCTTTCCATCTCTGCCTCTCCATCCTTCCTCCCTAATTCCCTGCTCCCTTTCCGCTCATGTGGCTCCTGTTCTCCTGACCCTTCTGTGGTCCTCCCATAGACCCTACCTGGGCCAGCCTCAACCTGGGCGCGCTGATCTGCATCGAGTGCTCCGGGATCCACCGCAACCTGGGGACACATCTGTCACGCGTGCGCTCGCTGGACCTGGACGACTGGCCGCGTGAGCTCACACTGGTGCTCGCATCCATTGGGAACCACATGGCCAACGGTGTGTGGGAAAGCTGCACCAAGGGCCGCCGGAAGCCCACGCCGGAGGCCAGCCGGTGAGTGCAGGGAGGCTGCGCCACGTGGGGGGGGGGCATCCAGTGAGCTTGCCAACCTTTAATCCGTGTCTTGACTGAGTTCCTGCCATGTCCCAGGGAGGAGAGGGAATCATGGATCCGAGCCAAGTACGAGCAGAGGCTCTTCGTGGCCCCCCTGCCTGCACCGGCCCAGGACACCCCAACGGCCATGTCCGCCAGGCTGTTGTCCACTGTGAAGGAGAAAGACCTTCCCAAGCTGCTGCTGCTCCTCGCCCACAGTACCAAGGAGGAGATCAACGCAGCCCCGCCCAGCGAGTCCCCATCTGACCAGGGCTCCGCCCTCCATACAGCCTGTCAGCTGGGCAATGTTGTGATGACACAGCTGCTGGTCTGGGTGAGAAAGCCTCTCTTTGGTGTCAGTCCAGGTCTTCAGATTGGAATTTGGCCATAATCCATCCTGATTCATTCTGATGGTGCTTCGTCACCGGCTCTGATGTTACTAAGAGCATGTATGGGCTGAACTAACTCACAATTTTAAAGTGACTCACCTTCTGGAATGTGCTTCTTAATCACAACTGGAAATCTATGTTTCGTTTTTTAAGCAGCGGTGTCACTCCATCCCTCTCCCCCTTTCTCCGCAGTACGGCAGTGACGTGATGGCGAAGGATTCCCAGGGCCAGACTGCCCTGACGATGGCGCGCCTCTCTGGCAGCCAGGAGTGTGCTGACATCTTGCTGCAGCACGGCTGTCCTCCTGAGTCCCCCCTTGCTGTCCCCGTGCCTGGTCCACTCCGCAAGAGCAGCACCACCAGCCTGGGTCGGGCCAGTTCTAGGAGAGGGGTTTCCTAGCCCTTGCTGACTCGGGTTATTGCAGACTAGGGTTAAATTCACTCCCATAAGCACAGACACAGATATAGGCCTCTGAAGTGGAACTGAAGCCTTCACTTGTAGTGGGGACATTATGTGTCAGTGTGTTTAAAATGCATCTCCCCCTCATAACTCTGTGTGTGTGTGTGTGTCAGTGTGTAGGAGCTACAGATGAGACACGAGTGAGATAAGATGGTAAAATCAAGTGAAAAACAAAAACACTTCACTCTAGTACATTCAAACCATGAAGAAATATGTTTTTCTTAGCCATTATTTCCTTACCATAGAATAATTTTGTGCATGCCTGGGTGTGCCCGGTGATGCCACCCCTGGATACACTCCATGACACCTTTCTGTGTACTCCTCACTGTGCTGCCATCATCTGGGCAAGAGGACTTTGTAATAATGTGCACTGGACCATGTCCCAGTGGACCTGGCAGCTCTGCATTCTCACAACCTTTCTCAAAAAGAGTTGGGTTTTACCCCTAGGGCCCTGCAGCCATGCTCCTAAGAGCAGGATCAGGCTGAACCAGGCCTCTCACTTGCTCCTCCTGGACAGTGAACAGCCTCCTGGTGAACGGTCACTTGATTCCTCAGAATATCAACTGGAAGCTCAAAGCCAGCCTTCAGCTAATTTGCCATGGGGATGGATGTGGTTGGCTGTGTGATAAGCACAGGATTATAGACTATGCACCTAGCCAGCAGTAAACGTCTGGAGATTCCTTGACCTCATATCACACACTCGGTTCCATCTTATACGGAATATAAAAGCAGAGCCTCATTGAATGGACAGGATGGTCAGAACTTAATACAGCGTCTCTCTCCTGGTGGGTTGTGGGCGATGTGTGGCTATCGCTGATTTGGTTCTGCTTCCGAGTCTCCACTTCAGCAAGAGACCGGGAGTTCTACAGAACCTGGACTTTGCCTGTGTCCTGCCAGGATACAGTGCTGATGGCATGAAGGTTCGTGGAACATCGGGGCAACCTCTGGAGGACCTGCTGAGGAAATGTCTCACTGCCCGGTAGACTCTGGTGCTATAGATTAAATACCAATCCAGATGTTCATATGAAGTGACAGAAAGATGGTCTGCAAATGGCATATGACAACTGTAAGAAAGAATGTCTTTAAAAAAAGTAAGATAATCGCACATTTTCCAAGCTTTAGAAGCCCAATAATGAACTTAAGGAGTCACCCAGAGTCAGTGTAGAATAGTTGTGTTCTGCAGAGCTTCCCCACTATCCTACCCATTCATCAATCAAGATGCTCAAAAAAACTGTAAGAAGAAAAGTGAATCTGTGTGATCTTCACACCATGCAGTGCTGAGATGACCAGCAGTGCACGGTTCCCATAGGCTTCATCTGTCAGCTGGTCAGTGGCCACGATTTTCAGTATTACAATAATTATTATCCAACAGCTAAATTGTAAGTACACAGAACTGTAGACGAATTATATTAAAGTCTATTGAAGATAATTAGGCTACAAATGATAACAAACAACAGTTGTACAGTATAGCTATATAATGATATTGTTGTTTAAATGTTGTTATGATTATCGGTAATGTATTTACAACAATGTACTTGTATGTAATGAAATTTGTACGGATATCTAGAGCTTGTTTGTATCTGTGTAAACTGGTCTATGATTCATTATTCAGAAATTTGCATCTGATGTAATAGTTTTTTTTAGTGATTTTTCAATTTGATATTTTTTATGATGATCACTGTTCCTTTAAAATGTTAACATTTCTTTTATGACGATTTTAGGTCTTATCGCTGAATATACTGTCTGTCACCCATAACCTTAGTCCTTACATTTGTTCTGATAAATTCCGGAGGCCCATGCCAGACTCCATGGGACAGGTCACTGCCTGCACAGTGTGCCAGGGCATCACAGGAAACTCAAACAACAGTCTCAAGTTGACCTAAATAGCATCTTTTTTGCTTTCTGGGAGGAATTCCACCCAGACAAAACATGTGAACCTGAAACCACTGCAGAATGGGAACAGCACTACTGCGCCACCTGGGGGTGAGGCAAAGGATCAAAGTGACCACCACAGTCGTCCTTACATTCCGCCTTGGATGAAAGGCGGTCCAGGGGCCACACCAGACCGAATTGACAGGTCGGCAGTCTGCATTCCTGACAGTATGGGGTCGCTCATTCTGCCTTGGATGAAAGGCGGTCCAGGGGCCACACCAGACCGAATTGACAGGTCGGCAGTCTGCATTCCTGACAGTATGGGGTCGCTCAGCAGAAAAGTTCAGCTTTACAGTCAAACACTTTTATCAGATATAAGATGGAGAATGTGCCACCGGCATGAAAACTCGCCCGTGCAGCACGTCTAACTTTTGGGTCAGATGTTAAACAGCAAATTCTCCCGTATAAATTTAACTGAAAGTGTTTGTAAGGGCAACGGATTTCTCATATAATCCCTCTCGTGGTAAATGGAATTGGAAGTGTAAACTCTGGGAACTGGCCTCTTAATATTTTAGTCTTTCTGTGTTTCTGACTAACCAGTACATAAAGAAAGTTTTTTTTCTTTGACATTTTTATGTGGAACTGTATTAACAACAAAGGGAACAGAATAAAGTTTATAGAAACAGATACTGGGCCTGAGAATTCATTTGAATGAGGGATGACTCACTTTTTAAGCTGCTGTTCAGTGTTTGGTAGCACCTGAAACACTGATAAGATTCAACAGGACTGAGAGGAAGCATTGGGAAGCTAAAAAAACATAATGAAGAAAGAACAGGAAACCATCCTGTTGTGGTCTTACTTTCAATTTAGCTTTTGTTGTTGTTTTCAGGAAAACGACTTCTGTCATTCGCTTCCGATTCATGCATATTAAGTATGATGATTGTGTTTTTCTAAAGCTGTGGGTGCCCCAAACACTGCCAACGTAAGCAACAGTATTGCAGATGGATTTCAAGGAAACAAATTAAAAACTGTCGCAACAGGTGGCAATATTGCACAGTTGTAAAGGGCAGCATTGGGGAAAATCAGATGACTACGAAGAAAAAATTTAGACATGACAGTACAACAGAGTACTGAAAAATGAACTCTGGGTAGAGTAACAATATCTCTCCTAGAAACTACTGAAGTCAGTGTAGCTTGTTAAAAAATATTCAGAGTAGTGAGTATTTTTTAATTGTGTTTTCCCTCCGTTATTGTAATTAACAAATATTGCTGGCAACTTGCAATTAACCTTTAGCTTAGACAGGTTGAAATGATGTGATAAAAGCATAATATTAAACTAAAGCGTGCCTCTATGTGTCTCTTTAAATTAGAGATCGAATTCAAAAAGACAAACAACAGGTGTAGGAAGGGAAAGCGAAGATGACATGCGGACACTTACCCATTTTTTGGCATCCATTCAGAAAATCTCCCGCATGTGGATGTACCTCTTCTGGAGTCAAGGCAACTCCCGCCATAAGCTCCCTAATTATTACTAACCGTTAATATTTAGTTACCGAACCTGCAGTGAGAATGCGCTGATTTTAGGCGCGCTTTGATATAATTGGCTATAGGAATTAAACAGTCCAATCGCTGTTGATGAACTTCAAAGATAGGGAGAAGGTGAACCAATAAAATCAAGGAAACAGCGATCACACCGGAGGGGGGGGGCAGTGAAGTTAATGTATCCTACAATTGTAGTGATGGGAAGTTCAATTCAGTTCAAACTGGATGCTTATTAAAATCTTATTTTTATTAAAATCTTGGTCATGTCCGAGTCTTGTTAATGTATATCAATCGCCTCAGGTTTAATTAAAATGAAAAACAATCACGTAAACAGGCTTTAGCGTTTGAAATGAAAACGAACAGTCAGCCTCCAAAAGCCTGGTAAAATCTTTAATACCTTTAATCTCCTGTTTTAATTCAGTACTGCTTAAAAAACCAATAAGTAAAGTTGGGGGAAAAAAATCTTCAATACCTTAAGAAATTTAATTGCAAACGTATTGCCTAAAATATGCTTAAACGATAAAAAACCAACCCCAAAGCCACAACATACAGAACACAGCAAGTTCAGTTCGCAATGAAAATTGGGGTCGACATATTTACTAACCGGTTCTTTTAGATTTGAAAACCGGTTCGACCAATTCACTGAAAAGAACCAATTCTAAAGAACGCTTCGTCCACGAATCGGACACCTCTGCTTACTTGGTATGTAGGCTACTCAAGCAAAACAGTCAGCCCTGTTACAACATGTGATTTCACACCACAAAAGTGCTCTAACGCGATTGATATGTTAGTACTCAAGGCCAACACAATGCGGAATTTTATTTCCGATTCAACAAATCGTTCTTTTGAACCGGTTCTTTTAAGTGAATTGGTCAAACCGGTTTTCAAATCTAAAATAATCGAAATTTTTGTACAGCCATGCATTCTTAGATGCTAAAAGTCTAAAAATATTTGACAAAAACGCACAGCAACCTTTTCAAATTCACTAACTTCACTCACATATTTGCTTTTCGTATACTGTAGTCACGTTGCCTTCATGATCAGTGCATACCGCATTGCGTTGTATTTGTGCTGCATGTATGGCCGCCTTAATTCACGGCGCACTATTCCCGACTCTCGCCAAGCAACAATTAGTTAGAGTTCAGCACGTTCTGTTGAAGGACCGGGTTACTAGGCAATTGTTGTGAGATTCATATAAGCCACATAGGAGATTTTTATGATATACCCTATAGCGGGGTAAATAATTTCTGATTCGGTATACACAATGAAACGAACGAATATTTATTGATACAGGCAGAATCTAAATTTACAAGTAGATGTTCAAAACAGAAAACATTGTGATAATTGTGTCTGTGAGTTGGTAATGGCTAATGCACATAATGACGCATATAGTCATTATTGCTGAACATTGTGGTTTCCCAGAAAATTACACCCGCATTGGAGATGGAGTAGTTATAAGATCAAGACTCAGATATGCTGCTGGAAACAAACTGGACAAATATGCGACTGCGCCTTGGTGTTAGGGTACACGGAATTTAGACGGGATATGATTATTTATGATTGTTATGAGGTTATATTTCACATAAAAATATACTTTGCATATTTATTTTTACAATCTACAAATATAAGCCTCGGGTTTTGTTATTCAGACACATAGCATTCCATGGTCAATTAAACATATAATCAACACAGAATGTACAAAATAACAGAGTAAAAGTTAATTAGAAAATGGAAATAAAAATGTGTAAAAAAAACATGTACACAAATAACTCGTAAAGGCGTGACATGAAAACATGCAAAGTGCACACAGCCTCTGATTTCAGACAACGGTGCCACCCACTGAGACATCACATATTTCTTTCAATATACTATGTTATAATCCAGTTTTATGCAAAGATGTTAGTTGCATATTGTACAAAAATAACGACCTCTCACAGCGCGGTCGGTACATGTAAATATACATTAAATGTCGTAATTTCGCCCACCGCTAGGCGGCAGCCGCCGGCAAATGAGTTTGTTTTCACTGGTCGCCTCTCTTGGTGGCTTTGTGCGCTCCGTTGCGTGCGTCGTTTGCCTGCGTTAGACCCAACAGGACTTTCATTGATGTAGACTGAGGGGAAAGGACGGAGCATAAAAGCAGCTGAAAAGCTCGTCTTCTGCTGGGTGAATAACCGTTCAGCCGCTTTACCGCCGCCAGTGTCTGACAGACATGCTGATACCTTCCTGGAAATGGCCCGTGATGCCGTAGAAATGCACTAACCGGGTGCTTGTGGTTTCTTTTGTTGGTCGTTAGCCGGCGCCTCCGCTGTGCCGTTACCCCGCCGCCCGGTTGGCGACGCAGCCTATGCTCCCCACTTCGGTTCGGTGTCACTGTGCCGCTTGGCTGCCTGTGGTGCCCTAAGACGGAAACGCAGGGGTAGGGAGGTGCATCTCAATCGCTCGGCCGGGTCCCGCGGAGACAGAGGGCCGCGGATCGTGAACCTTTTCTGGCTGGTTTATTAAAGCTCGTCAGGTGTAACTGCTCGGAGTTGAAACTTCGTGAGCCTTATTTGGCATAGGTTTACACCCCCCACCCCGTACTCGCCGCCCCTTTGTCTGTCTATAACCCATCCTCTCTGTCTGTCTCTCCCTCCCTCCATGAATCTCTCCACACACTGCCTCTGTACAGCAGTTTGTTTATCGGATGCTTTTTGTCCATGCTTACAGATTGAGCTCCCGATGAATGACAATAGCAAGATCATACGGGAAAAGGAGCTGTATAACAGAAGCAAAATCTGACGACCTATTCAAATACCTCCAAGACAGTCTAGTCCGAAGGAAATCCAAGTGTAAAATACAGCAGCAAAAAAACACAATACTCACTACTTTTTAACAAGCTACTCTGACTTCAGTAGTTTCTATGAGAGGTATATTTACTCTGCTCTAGGATAGGACTGTGCTTCTTTTAACAAATCATAGTGCTAGTTTTTGCCAAATAGAAGCTGTCAGAGATGCCCACTATCTTTAACAAGTAAGTAAATAAAATTTTAAGAAATCCAAAAAGGGCGATTGTACTATATGTAGTCAAATTAAAAGCTCAATAGTATGTATAGTGGCAAGTGAAAATATTTCAATGGAACGTTCAACTGAGACAGAGTACTGGGAGGATCCTTGATAAGCTGAGGTTAGTTCAGTTGTTCTTGGAGGAAATGGCTCTTTAGATGTCTTTGGAAGTTTGTGAGGGACTTGGCAGTTGGATAGCTAGTTCCACCGTTGAGGAACCATGCGTGAAGCGTGTCTGTTTCAAAGACTTGTTTTCACACAGTGGAAGGATCCACCAGGTAGCCTTTGGTTACTGACCATACAGGGTGAAACTGCGAGTAGCTCATAAGTGCAGGTAGGTACTGCCCCATTAACGACTCTGAAAGGCGACACAAAGAACCTGACGTGGGCACTTATAGGGAGAGAAGGATGGCCGTAACATGAGAGCATTTTGGCTGATTGAAACGGCGCTCATGTTGCGAGATGCTAAGGAGTTCAGCAGTGCATTTACAGTCTGATCTTCCCTGTGTTAAAATAAGTGACTCTAGATCAGGAAATATCTGGTCATCGATCATTACTCCTGGGTTCCTAGGAGATGTTGAAGGGAGAAGGTGGACGATCTAAACTGTACAGTGACTGAGTAGTAGGTTTACCTGGGATGACAAGAAGCTTGGCTTTTGAAAGGTTCTGTTGGAAGCTGCTATGTGAGCCGCACACGTGGAGCCTGTGTAAGAGGGCAGAGCTGTCTGTGGTTTCTGTCACGAGCACATTACCGTTCACAGTGCTGTACGTGCGTGTAACCGTGGTCATCCTGCTGCGACACGCAGTTCCTGATGAGAGGCTCTCCTGTGCTTCTCTTTGGCAGGCAGTGGTGAGTCGGGCTACCGGGGATGAGGATCCGGCTGCAGGGGACAGGCCACGCCGCGGGTCTCCTCGCAGAGCTCAACCGCTGCCGGCTCTCCCGCTGCCTGTGTGACGTGGTGCTGCAGGTTGGGGGGCGCTCATTCCCAGCTCACCGCGCCGTCCTGGCCTGCGCCGGCACCTATTTCCGTGGCCTGTTCTCTGGCGGGGGCGGTGCCTCCCCCACCTTCACCCTGGACTTTGTGTCTCCGGCAAACTTTGAGAAGGTGCTGACCTTCATTTACACGGCGGAGATCCTGACGGACCTGATCGACGTGGGAGTGCTGTATGAGCTCGCTGAGAGGCTGGGCGTGCAGCAGCTGGTCTTGGCCTGTCACGCCACCTTCCCTGACCTGCAGAGCTCTAACCCCAGCAAGGGTCCCGCCAAGCCGGACCTCGACCAGCGCACCGCCCCCACCTCCGTGTGCTCTTCCTCGGCAGCCTCCTCCTCCTCATCGTCACTGTCCTCATCTGCTGGTCCTTCTGCCACACCGTCCTCCCTGTCCCGGGATGGTGCCTCCAGAGCGGGCCGGGGCCACGGGGCCCCCTTTCCTCCTCCTCAGGCCCCCAAAGCAGAAAACGAGGAGTTCTTTGTGGAGTACGGCCAGATGTCCGAGGAGAAGCTGCCGGAGCAGCGGCCAGCGGCTGAGGTGGCGGACACTGTGAACGGGCCAGCCAGGGATGTGAAGGTGGAGCAGGCTGAGGAGGGCGGTGGCACGGGGGGGCGGCGTGGAGGGGAGTCCCGGGTGCCATCTGCGCCGCTTAGTGTCTCTTACCCCGACTCCTCGGCTCAGCTGCCGGTGGAGGCCTGCGCCCCCTCATCGTCGTGCGGCGACCCGCTGGACGGCCTGCAGGTCAGTGCCGTGGAATGCGGGGGCGCCGACGCCTCCGAGGAGCCTGACGTGCTGTTTGAGGATGACGAGGACGCAGGGCGGGTGCGTCGCCAGGGAGATGGCTCCGAGGCCGGCGACCGCTGGGGGAGGCTGTCAGAGGAGATCATTGAGCTGAGTGACGACGAGAACTACGCCGAGGAAGATGAGGTCGAGGAGGAGGACTTGGTGTGCCTGGAAAATGGCGCTGGCTTGGGGGTGGGCACTCGTGGCCCTGTGGAGGGCCCGGTGGCATGCGGAGCCTGCGGGAAGGCGCTGCCCGCGGACGTGGGCGCCGTCACGGCACATGCAGAGACCCACGTGTCGGATTCAGGCGCATGCCAGCTCTGTGGTGCCACTCCAGTATCCCGTGCTGCCCGCATCTCGCACGCCCTCTCTCACGTGGGCGTCCCGCTCTTCTCCTGCGACATGTGTCACCTGCAGTTCTGCAGTCCAGCCAAGCTGAACCGGCACCGGCGGCAGGCCCTTGCTGGGATCCCCCTGCCTCAGCCTAACCAGTTCAACAGTGCCTCCCAGGGACCGGGTGGGGAACTGCAGTGTGCGGTCTGCTCCAAGCAGCTGACTAAGGACTTCCAGGTGAGTGGTGTGCTTGCATGTGGAAGGTACTCTGGGTGCCTCTTGTTCAGATTGGTCGGTCGTCTCAGATTGTCTTGGTAGATTGTTTTGACACTGAAAAGGTTAGATTACCTGACAGTGATATGCTAGTGCTCATTCCACCAAATTGTGTCCAACGCACGTCTCGCAGTCTGCAGCGTGGTCTGTCTTGTCGCCCGCAGGCCGTGAGGGAGCACCTCCTCGTCCACTTGTGTGTGTCTTCACTTCGCTGTGCCGTGTGCCACCTGGCACAGCCGTCCCTGTGCACGCTGCTGTGGCACACCCTCACGCACCTCTCCCTGCCCATCTATACCTGCCCCTGCTGTGCCTGCTGCTTCCTGGAGCGCCCCCAGCTGGAGAGGCACATGGTAGAACACGGCGAGGATGGTGCAGCTGCAGACAGGGAGCTCGGGGACTGCCCTGTGCCTGGGGCCGACGCCCTGGAGGATCTGCGCTGCTTCTTGTGCTCTCAGACCTTCACCTCCACCTCTGCCTTCCAGTACCATTTGAGCTTACATACGGGCGAGCAGCCGAGCAGCCAGACCTGGCAGGGCAAGCGCAAGGCAGAGCAGGCCCTGGACTATCCCTCATCCTGCTCGTCGTCCTCGTCGCTGGATGCCGGAAGCCTGGGCAGACTAGTGGCCGTGGGCTTCGGGCAGCCCGTGGGCCCGGGGCCCCCCGAGAAGCCGCCTTCGGGCTCCCTCCCCGGCTTCCCGGTAGGACTCCTCCCAGACGGCAACCCTGGCGGGCCATCGGCGGGCGCGGCGCCACGGGTCAAGTGGTACCGCTGCCGGTTCTGCGGCAAACGCTTCGCCCACTCGGGCGAGTTTACGTACCACCTGCGCATCCACACTGGCGAGAAGCCGTACCAGTGCAAGGTCTGCCTGCGTTTCTTCCGGGGACGCTCTACCATGATCTGCCACCTGAAGACGCACGCCGGCGCCCTCATGTACCGCTGCACGGTCTGCGGACTCTACTTCTCCACCCTCAAGCTCGTCTCGTCCCACATGGAGCAGCACAAGGACAGTCTGCCACCGGATTTCAACATTGAACAGACCTTCATGTACAACGACCACTCCAAAGAGCCCCTCTCTGGCCTGGACAGCTGATTGGCTTTTCCTCGTGGCCTGGACCACTGACTTGCTGTTTCTCTGGCCTCGGCGTCTGATTGGCTGTGTCTCTTCTTGACCTGCTGAGGACTGGATTTCTAAAAGATGCTAAAGCTGTCTGTGTTTATGGGATTTAAAAAAAAAAGGTTTTGCTTCACCGCTTGGTGGCAGCACATCTCTGAGATTGGTGTGAGGTCATATCGAAAGTGGTGACTGGAGAGCGACGCTCCCCAGTTTAGTGATGCCCAACTGGAAATCAAGCCGTGCCGCTCTGCTCTCCAGGCTGAGGAGGCTGAGCTTGGTCGTTGCGTGCCTTATTGTGGAGGAGAAGACTGCATCGTGGTTACTGCTTAGGTGCTGCTGTGGGCGTTTCCCATGGTGCCTTGCAAAAACATTTCCTACAGTCTCCTCTTTCTCCTTGGTCAAGAAAGCTTTTCCACATGTAGACATTTTTATCCACCAAATTAATTTTAACTAAACATTTTTAACTTTTTAAAGGTTTATTGATTTATCTGTTGTTTTTCTAAAAAGAAAAATACTATTTCCTTACTGTAGCTGTAGAGATGTGACACTTCTAAATTAGAATTGATAGATTAATATTTATGGTGTTGTGTATCTGACAGCTTTATTTGGTATTACCACCGCTATGCTTTGTTAAAACGAGCATAATCCTGTCCTAATTTAGGGTAGCTAAGTTCTGCTTAAGAAATCCAATATTGAAATATGGTTCTACAAGCTTTGAATGTCTTAAGGTTTGATATTAAAGTGTGTATGTATACATTTAATGTTGATTTGAATAAAGTAGCAGCTTGTCAGAAATCTTACAGGCCAGTCAATGAGGAGAAAGGTGCTATTAGATGTTAGTGCGTGGGCTCTCTCCGCAGGACGTGTGTAATGCGATAGATACACATGTAACACGACGACACTCTACACTGTCCGCACCCCCTCACAGTACAGTGGTATTAAATGTGGGAGCAAAATTTTATTTGTTATTTTTTATATATATATATATTGTGAAACACACCTTTTTCAATGTAAGCAGCGCAATGTGTTTGCTAAAGTCCCACGGCCAAGCGGTTTGATTTAGATGGCTAAGACGGCTGATGGTGTTGGCCCATCTTGGAGTGGCTTGGCCTCTCCGAAATGGCAGCTCGCCACCTCATTGATCAGGCTTGACACTGACCTCCTGTAGCCCCGTGCAGCAGCTCTGTGAGGATGAGCTGTAGCTGAGGTAATGCCCTGTGCAGCAGCTCTGTGAGGATGAGCTGTAGCTGAGGTGATGCCCTGTGCAGCAGCTCTGTGAGGATGAGCTGTAGCTGAGGTGATGCCCTGTGCAGCAGCCCTGTGAGGATGAGCTGTAGCTGAGGTAATGCCCCGTGCAGCAGCTCTGTGAGGATGAGCTGTAGCTAAGGTACCGCCCCATACAGTAGTTCTGTGAGCATGCGCTGTAGCTCAGGTATGGCGCCATACAGCAGCTCTGTGAGGATAAGCTGTAGCTGAGGTACCGCCCCATACAGTAGTTCTGTGAGCGTGTGCTGTAGCTCAGGTACGGCCCCATACAGCAGCTCTGTGAGGATAAGCTGTAGCTGAGGTATGGCTCCGTGCAGCAGCTCTGTGGGGATGAGCTGTAGCTGAGGTATGGCTCCGTGCAGCAGCTCTGTGAGGATGAGCTCTAGCTGAGGTATGGCTCCGTGCAGGAGCTCTGTGGGGATGAGCTGTAGCTGAGGTATGGCTCCATGCAGTCTGTAAGGCCGCATGCGTCCACCGTGAGTCTCAATTTGTGTGGTTATTTTCAAATGTTTAGAAACTGTTTCTGATGAAGGAACTGTGCTGCTTTGCAGAATGCAGTGCCCTGCTCCCTACCATCTCTGTGCCCTGAATCAGGCTCCCTGTACGTCAGCACTCACCTCAGAAGCAGTGATGCAGTGACATGGAGCCAAGTAGCAGTCAGCTTGGTGCCATCACATCTAGTGGGTTTTTTTTCTTTTACACTTAAAGCCTTAAAATGTCTGTGGAGATGCATGTACGTCGATGAAATGTCACAATGGTGTTCTTGTGAATCTGTCGGAATCGACTCTGGGTCTCTAAGGTATTAAAGGACCGGCCCCCCATCGGAGAACGGTTCCCTCTTTTGTCAGAATCTGTCTTATTTCATAAAGTAGGTCAAGGTTTTACCATCTATTTATTGTATTTATACTGTTTTTTTATTGACACTGTTATAACAAATGTCATGTTGGTCATTGAATTCATGCTTCAATTTTGTTTGTTCCATTAATAAAACAGAGTAACAGCAGCCATTGTTGAATTACTTGATTAATGCTGACAGTAGCTTTATGTGAAGCGTGAAGAGGCAGCTTGTTATTGGCTCTGTGTTATCTGTGAGAAATGCCTGCAGATCCAGTGCTGCAGAGCAGGACAGGCGGCCCAGGTTTCCCCTGAACGATCTAACCTGTGACCTTCCGGCGTCGTCCTCGAAGCAGTAGCTTTATCCTCGTGGTTTCCTCCAATTGTACCTCTGGATCATATGACCTCCCACCCACAGGATAAGCAACAGGAAGCATGCATTCCCGGCCAGAGGTCTCTGGTGGCCGAACTAAGGAGCTTAACTGGCTGCTGGCTGAAAATGCTTCTTCACCAAGGTACTTTCACACAGCAGCAGTGTTCGGCACCACTCAGACCACGCATGTGTATGTTGGACACAAACGGTCACTACACTAAATATTAAATAAGACCATTGCAAGACATGTTCTGCTAACCAGCTAACTAGCTACGCACTCCTGACTCGACTAGCTAACTGAAACAAACCCCTCCGCTGGTTTGCAGAGACCTGATTGGCTGCCTAGATGGCATATGTCTAGTCTGAGGCCCAGAAATGACAGCAGTACTTAATGCAGGACTTATTAAAAACCAGATTTTCTTCATTTAATGTACTGGTCAGGGTTGCCAGGTCTCATGCTCACACATGACATCTTGTGGCAAATGTACATTATTCCAAAATAAACCTAAAGTTAGCTGCATCAAAAGCGTTGGGGTAGTTTGCAAACCCTACAGACTATTTACAAGGTGATTAAACTGTTACATACATCTAAATGTGTGTGTGTGTGTGTGTGTGTGTGTCAGTACAGACTTGTCTCAAATTGAAAATCTCACTCCAGTCAGCTGCCCAAAGTTGGAAACCCTGGTATTGGTGCATTTGAAATAATAACCTCACTCACTGGAAGACTGGAGGTTTTTTAATTCGACTTACATGGATTGCAGGATTCACTTGGCTACACGTAAATAAAACGCTAGGAATGTGTAACACCAGTAGTTCCAAGGATAGAAATTAAGCAGCCATTCGTATCAGCAGAGATACCCAGCATATCTACAAAAGCCTGGTTCATACACGCCTGCCTTTATACTGGGGTGTGTGGTGTGGCTGTCACTGTCCTTTCTTTTGCAGTCCTGTGTGACGGTTTCGTGTGCTCTGGGAGAAGCTCCTCCTTCTTTTCTTGCGGTGGGTCCGTTTTTCCAAGACTAGGTGAGAGAGTGAGACATAACTGCCGTCCAGCGTCCCCCCGTTCTCTCCAGGGGCCGCTGATACTTTATGTTCCTTTCGACATTTCGGGGAGGTGTGTTTGAAGTCGCATCTCCTCCGGTCCATGCCTCAGTGGGCCGTCTCCCCCATCTTCGCTCTTCAAGGGCCCACGTCTGAGTGGCTGGTGCCGCTGGTGCTGGCCCGGCGGCCCTGTTTGTCCGCGGCCGGCCGCTTGGGGCGGTCGGCGTCGGGGCAGCCCTCAGCGTTGGGTGCCCTGCTGGACAGGTGCTGCAGCAACGTGTTGACGAGCATTTCCTGGAAGCCCTTACTGAGGAAGCTGTAGAGGATGGGGTTGGCGATGCAGTGGAAGAACGACAGGCATTCCACGATGGAGAAGGAGAAGTAAATGGCGTCCGCCATGTTGCAGCTGAAGAGGTGCGGGGCCACGTCGTCCACCATTATGAGCATCATGACGAGGTGGTACGGCAGCCAGCACACCACAAACACCAGCGAGTACACATGCACCAGCCACACGTCGCGCCGGCCCTCCACGTTGGCCATGGTGCCTACAGTGCGTGCGATCAGCACATTGCATGTGATAATGATGACTGCAGGTCCCACGAATTGGAAGAAGAGGGAAATGCAGATCAGGGCGTCGAACCACATGCTATAGCTGTAATCAGGGATCAGGTAGCAGCCAGGTTCCTCAAACTCCAGCAGGTCCACGTGCACGTTCTCGATGAGGGCCAGCAGAACGGCGAGGGTCCACAGGCCCCCACAGATCAGTGCCCTGCGGTGGCGCTCGGGCAGGCCCCAGCTGGTTGACTCCGGCTGGGACACTGACCGGTAACGCTCGAGTGTCATGCACGCCACGAAGAAGGCGCTGCTGTAGAAGTTCACCGTGTAGACGAGATGTGTGAACTTGCAGAGGAATTGGCCCCACAGCCACACTTTGTCTATGGTGACCTCAAGCATGAAGAAGGGCATGAGCAGCACCGCCATGAGGTCGGATATGCTCACGTTGAGCACGTAGAACAGCACGCGGCTGCAGGACCTCCTGCGCTTCCAGTTGACCCACACAACCAGGCAGTTCTCCATCAGAGCCACCGTGAAGAAGAGCAGGTGCATCAGGAAGAGGAACACGCGTCTGGAGCTATGGTCCAGGTTCAGGGTACAATCGTACATGAACCAGTGTGTGTAGTTGTCATGGTCGGATGTGGTGTTGTGGGTGTCGTCCACCATCTGCAGGGCAAGAAGGAAGCTCTTAATGGGGGGGGGACCCTGAATACTGGGGCCATATGAGTGACCCAGAGCATCACACACTATTACTGTACCACAGTGCTGTGCCAGACTCAAACTCCACTACTGTATTGTGCTACACTGCTGTACTGCGCTCTTGTACCCCACTGCACCTTGCTCTCACACAGCTATTGTACCCCACTGCTTTTACCAAATATGTATCAAAAGGAATAATCATTATGAATGCTTTATAAAGCTCTCATCTATAACACACTAGAAATACCGTTAAAATGCATTATAATGGTCAGTATAAGCATTAAGGATGCCTTGTACTGCATTATAAAGGATTCTATAGTGCATTATAGATAAGAGCTTCATAAGGCAGTCATAATGCATATGACTTTTATAATTGTTATTTATAATGCTTCATGAATGCATTATCATGCACTATGAATGTGTGTAAATTACCAATAACATGGCCTTAAGTAAAGTGTTACCTACCACTTTGTTGTACCACAGTCACACACAGTTGCTGTACTATGCTCTTTGCCTGTCATGCTATGGCAGAAAAGTCGTGCGTTGAGTTGTTGTTACTGGCTAACTGGGAATATCCCACTATGTGAATGAAAGTCGCTCCCCCCCAAGTACGAGGGCCTGAGCCCACCAGCAGACTAAGGCTGGGCTCGGGGAAAATTTTTCATGCATCGGTTGGGTTTGGGTCGGGCTTAAATGACTTTATTTTGTGTTTATTGTGCTAAGGTGGACTCTGTAACAGAAACAGGAAATAGGAAAGATTGGAGTTCACGTCTCACGGGTGTCCGAGTACGTTTTGAATGCTAGCTAATGTGCGTCATGGCCATAAGGATTAAATTTGCAAAGCGAGAGCTTTTGACCATTACAAACAGTTTGATGTTTAAATTATTTTTATTTAAAGTTGTAGCCAACGGGCTAATGATTCAATTTCTATTTTCTCTCAACAAGTGGTAAGTGGATCCTAATTCGAAGCTTATTTTCACTAATTCCCTGGTTATGATTTGAAACATTTCAGTTGTGTGTAAGACATCATGACCATGGCTCATGCGTGTTTTGAGAAATTCCATTACTATCTGGGCTTGGGTCAGACTGGGCTTGAATGCCAACGGGTCTGGGCTGGACTCCTACAGAAGGAGATTTGCGTCTAAAGCATTCATACGCAAAAAAAGGAATTGCAAATTTAAAATAATATTTTAAAATCTGTAGCTTGACCTGTAAGCACAGATTCTGCAAGTACACTTCTATTGCGACAATTTTCGTCAAAACCTATTGGGCACTGGCAACATAACTTTCTCCACATAGCTAGTAATTTAGAAATGTACCGCTGAAGTTGTAAATGCATGAACTGTGATTCGTAATCACAACCTGAACATTATAAACTTGTAAGTGAAATATGGCGCAGGTACACATTTGCCACTCTGAATATGGATTTGCATTTCATAAAACTACGAAACCTTCATGACATTTAATTACGATTACTTCAGACGTATCTCCTTAGGCTTGCACTGATGTTTAGGGACCATGCAAGATTTTACAACACCGTCAGTGAGTCACTTTCTGGTTTGAGAGCAGCTTCCAAGCTTCTGTGCCATCATTTAATGTAACAAATCACAAAGAAAGGCATTATCTCCTCATTTGCTCCAGATACACTTGTGACTCAATGCTATTCACAAACATCCATCCCTCTGTTACTGGGTTACATTGAACCTGACGCTTGTCCCATGCAGCGTAGGGGACAAGGCAGGGGACATCCCAAACAGGATGACAGTCCATCACCGGCACACGCACACACACACACACACATATTGGCACACACTAGACAATCGCCCGTTCCTCTCCAAAGCCATGAAACGGGACCCTGAATGTCACCATATTTGCTTTCTCCTTCCTTCTGTTTCTCCACAGCTTCCCACTGTGTCCATTTAGCCTGTGATTCTAGAAAGTTCATCAGCTCGGTGACCTACCTGATCTGTCAGAATAACATCTAAATGCACATCATTTGTGAGAGAACTCAGAGAACCCCTCCATCGTGGGAGCGGTCCCTCGCCCACAGCTTGACAGGCTTGGCCCGACTGCACGGTACCTTGGAGACTCTGCAGATCCTGGCCGATCAGCGGGAGGCGGGATGCTGGGAACGCTGGGAACGCTGGCTTGAGCGCGCGGAGACCTGTCTGAGCGTGGGATCCCGGACAATCTGGACTCAGCTGGCTGACCCACACTGGCAAATTCACCCAGCCCTGATACCCCGAGACCTCCCCCCCCCATGACTGACAGGACATCCTGGAGGAGGTGCAGCGACCTTGGACTGACCCCCACTGGCCATGTGATAAGGCCTGACTCTCAGGCTCTTCATTTTCTGTGTGATTCATCCCAAGGACACCATCGCAGCCTCGCCGAGGCCGAAAGTCCAACTGCGTGATTTAACCGTTTACACTCAGCGGCATCACTCGCGAACATTCAAACCACACCTTTGTGTGGGGCCCCCTGTTGGCCACAAGCAGTCATCACACTAAATATATTAAACACCACCCTTACTTAGGAGATGCTGAAGTAGCATGTTCTGCTAACCAGCTAGCTAGCTACCATCTTCTGACAGGGGTGCCTCAGAAACGGCAAACTGGCTCCCGTTTACACCTTTGCGAGCGTGGATGACATATTCAGCATAATCCACGCAGATTGGCCTCTCCGGGGTATATCATTCACTTATGACATAAAACCAGCTGCCAGGCAGAAAGACACGGGGACGTGCTATTTAGCTGTAGGGTGTGAATATTTTCACATGTAGCCAATCGAGCTGCCGGGAGCAAACGGATACAGCGGCTGGCTGGCAAATAACTGACATCAGCACTCCAGCGCTGTGGAAAAAACACTCTGTCCCGGCTGTGATATAGTGCAGATACAAACGCTGGGGCCTCGGGCTCTGCTGTCAGGAAGTTCTGTGATTAAGGAGTGTCAGAGGAAGGAATGAAGGCGGGAGGGCACCCTTAAAATAAAGTAGTTGACCTCCCCCCCCCAGAGTGGACCTAGGCGGCCATATTGCCACCGGGCGCAACTCTGCTCGCATGACCCAGGAGGACACGGCTGGACTTTCTGCCCAGTTTGGGTGTGACACCCCCACCCCCTGAGGTCCTGAGGACATGGGCCCACCTTGCCCGTCAGCACATTCCTGTGGTCGCTCCTCCGGGATTGAGTCGTGTTTTTCCATCCTTTGTTAGAAGCAGCAGTGTGGCATTCAGGAGCAACAGGAAGGGATCAATCATCACAATTAAGGCTCCTGGCAAGGGAACCCACATCCCTGACCTCTGACCCCTCTCCTCATCCATCAGGCACAGCACCCGGCCTGCCCTACCCCATCTGTACAGGAGCAGGGGCACCAGTTTCAGCTCTTCAAATCACTAATCCGGGGGTAGGCAACCCGATCCTGAAGTGCTGGTATCCAGCAGGTTTTCCCATCCTACCTGGTCTCTGAGGTACCACACCTGACCTGAGCAGATAGTAACTCCTCAGGTAGGACAGAAAACCTGCAGGATACCAGCACTACAGTATCAGGACTGCCTTCCCCTGTACTATGCTGATGTTGCGCTTCCTACTTTTCCTGCTTTTCCATTGCTCGCCAGTGTGTCTCCAACACAGCCCCTCTCTGAACTGCACACCAGCTGTCCCAAAATCCCCGCATGGTTATGTCTGGACCTCCGGTATGTAGCAGTGATGAGTTTAAAAACCTCCCAGATACTCAGTTGACGTCCGTCACCTATGTTCCCAGTGTCGACGGCACTGTGCGGACAGTGATCACAAGCTTATCATTAATGCACAACTTTATTGTGTTTTTGTTTTTTTTAGAAACGGAGGACATGGAGAACAGGACAAAAATTTGGCACTGCACGCAGAGGGGCACCACTATGGCCGCCGCCATTGTCCCGGACAGGATGTGAGGGCAGCCACTTCCTGTGAGGGTCGCTCACACTCCTCGGCGAGGAAACGCACACTTCCCACTTTTCTGCTTACCTTTCAATCCCAAAACCTCGAGGAACCTTAATGCGGTGCCTTCAGATTGTCCTCTCGTCATGGGCCAACGATGGGCCAGGTATCAACCACTATAACCCTCATGTTATTTTCCTGAAATCTAGCATAGGAAGTAAGTCTCTCTAAAAAGGAAAAATATCCCCAAAGGGAGATATAAGGGCAAATACCAGAGCAGAGAAAACTGACTACAATCTGTACGTGAAATCAGACCCTATAGGAATGGACAGCTGGACAGAAAGCGTGCCACGAATTCGAAAACTGTGCAAAATAGACTCAGTCCAGAAAACTTTAAAAATATATATTAGCCATAACCAGCTAAGAAGCGTAAATGTAGTGTATTGGCTTTTTAAAAAATATTAAATACTCTGAGTGCCTTAAAAACTAATTTCACAAAGCACACTTTGGGCTGTTGTAGGACTGCATTATTGTTGGGGGGGGGGTTCTCACCAGTGCTATCTGCATTCTTCAGGGGGGTGTTTATGAAGTGGTAAACCTAGCCATTGGTCCCTACTGCTATGGTGAGTCCCGCCTCTGTCTGTCATCCAGCTGTGACACTGTTTCACATTATCAGGGTGACAGACCTGCTTGAGTCAGGCAGGCAGTCCTGTCTGTATGCCAATCCCTCACGCCCTCGGAGAAGATTACGGCAACAGAAACGGGACTGCTGAGGTGGGGGCACCTATTCTTTGGATGTTTGTCCTTTGAAGAAATACATCAGACAAGGAATAAAAACTACGTATGGAGAATGGAACGGATAAAATGAACAGCAGAGTCTTTTCGTGTGAAGCAGGCCCACAGCCGTAGGGTTCGGGGCACGGGCTCGGCCCGTCACGCAAAGATGTTGGCGATGAATTCCCGGAAGCGCTTGGCGTACTGCTCGGGGTGCACGGTGGAGATCTCTGCACCAGCCTGGAACGAAGCAGACGGTCTGTATCAGACCACCGAGCTAGAGGGTGTACATCAGCCCATTGAGCAGTCCTCCGGCAGGAGAGGGGGCACTCACGCCGTGTTTGACGGTCTTGGCCGCGTGAGCTGCCCTTTTCTTGGCGTTGTACTGCGTCAGCACGTCGATGAGGCCCATGAAGTAGACCTCCCTCTGAGGGGCTTCTGGAGAGAGATGGGAAGTACTGTGTTACCATGGCGCTGTCCACTTCCTGTCTGGCCTCACAAACTGTCCTTGAGCCCCGAAACATGCTTCTCACTAAAACAGACCATTTACAGTAGCAGGGGAGAGATAATGTAGGTGTAATTTCACGGTGCTTTCTGGCATGTTCCGCACACTCACCAGGGACACTCTTCAAGGCATAGACGTCGATGTAGGGATCAAACTCTCCTGGACCGAGGGGCTTACAGGAATTCAGGTAACCGGCGATGCCCTCGGGGGACGTGCCGTAAGAGCCTGCCGCGGGGGCGGTCGTCAGCCCGTTCTCAGGCTCCGCCTCCTCCTCCATGCACGGCTCCTCCAGCTCCTCCTCCTCCCGCTCCGCCCTCGCCACGTCGTGGATGCCCAGAAGCAGGCTGTAGTCCATGATCTTCAGCTTAACCAAGAACTGCAAGAGCCGTCAGGCATGAAGGGTTTGTGAGCCGACGCGTTTGGTACCAGATCAACGGCAAATACAACTGCCAAAACCCAGCCATGGAGTTTATCACCACCCAATCCACACATCTGCACAGGGTACAAAAGATTTAGGAGACCCCCACTGGCCACTAACAGTTACTACATAAATATTACCTAAACCCATATTTAGGAGATGCTGAAGCAGCATGTTCCACTAACCAGCTAGCTATGGTCCTCTCACCCTATTTGCTACCGATTTAGTTTCTGAAACATCTCAGGAGGGACAGGAGGTCTCAAAGAGATCTTTTGACTATAAAATAAAGCCACCTCTCTACTGATCCCCATAATGGAGATCATCCACGCACCTCCACATCTCTATTCAGCTTCTCCATGAACTTCTCCTTCTGCTCCTCGCTCACATGCACCTTCTGCATGTCATTCCTGAAGTCCACATCCTTGTAGGTGGGCAACTCCTTCACCTGGAGCGGAAGCAACATCAAGCAGGGTTAGGGTTACCATCTCCAGCAGGTATCACTCACCATCATGCTGATTCAGGGCATCTTAAGGAGACCTTCTCTTACCTTCTCTTTCTCGCTCGCTTCACGGGAGACGAGGGACCCCTGTGGAAGTACAACATTTCCCGTAAAACACATCGGCGTGATCCATGTAAGGAAGAAGGTCTCTCAGCGGCGGCCACAGCTCCGTGCTCAGGCTGCAGCAGAGACTGCCCTCTACTGGCCACAGAAGCAGGTGCGCCCCGACCCACCAGCCCACACCTCACCTTGAGGTCGTACTTCCTGTGGACGACCAGCCTGTGGCTAAACATGTTCCTCATGACCATGAAGTAGGTGTCCTCACTCTCCACAGTCACGCGGTACATTCCCAGGAACTGAGGCAGCAGCGTGCTGCCGTGACATTTCACTATGTGCTGGGGGGGGGGTAGAGACAAAGGTGGCCTCAGGGACCCCTACATGCACACGGTCTGTTTCCCTGTGAGGACGCACATCTATTGGTTCCTGCTGGTTTAGAACCCGCCCCAGAGGATGCCACATCCTACCTGGTGGTACTCAGACAGGATGTTGTGCATGTCCTCCACATCCTCGCTGGAGATCTGCTTGATGACCAGAGTGCCGTCGTAGGAGGTAAGCAGCAGTCCCTCTCCGGGGCCGTCACCCCCTCTGACGGGAGGACTGCGGGTCACAGACACCTGATGAAGTGGAAAAAAGACGAGAGAGATGGGTGATGCCGAAATTGCATCCCGACCCGTCGAGCCCTCCCTACGCTAAAAACGTGTCCCGACCCGGCAGGCCCTCCTGACGCCAAAACCACATCCCGACCCGGCAGGCCCTCCTGACGCCAAATCCCCATTGTGTCCCGACCTGGCAAGCCCGGCGCTGAAACAGCAGCCGCTGTATAAATAGGGTCAATTAAGCGGCAAGTTTTAAAAACAGCCGGAAATAATGAGCTGGTAAAAATAGGCTCCCTGGAGGTCCTCAGGGAAACGGCGCCTTTCTGTGGCCCATTTGGATCCGAGCGCCATGGTGAGGACACAGCCGGCATGAAGAACAGCATGCAGAGAGCAGATCTGGCCAAGAGGGGCGTGGCCATCCTGCTGGGACCCTCCCCAGGAACGGTGTCCCCTGAAGGGGGTGTCTGCTGCTGCTCTGTGAAGTGACCAGGGAGGCAACTGAAGCTAATGGGAGGTGTTAAAGAGCAGAGCAGAAAGGCGGAGCACTGTCACCAGCAGAGTGACACTGTCCGTGATGCAGGGAGTCCCCTGGCACATACACGCCGTCCGGCAGATTCACAGCCGTGTAACCTTTAAACACCAGCCAACCCAACGGACCGCGAGACATGCGTCATATTCACCTGGTAATCGAGATCCTCGATGCCGAAACGCTCCCGGAGGTTCCGGAACACCTGGGGGCAGTATTCCTTAAATTTAAAATGGCCTGGAAGGTTCTCTCTGCAAAGAAGGAGAGCAGCTCTTAGGATAACCAAATGCAGTGATGTTGGGACGCCACACGCGCGCGCGCGCACACACACACACACACACACACACACACACACACACCAGGGGAATGCCGCCGAATCAGCTCCTGTAGTTACACAT